GACAGACAGACAGAAATGATGATAGTGGTCTACCACTCATTGTAGCCCGGAAACTAGTCCGTCAGCTGTGGGCTCTCCACACTGTTGAACTTGATCAAGCTTAACAACCTTTGATTGTCATCAGCAAATCGCTGTATGAAGGACCAAAAACGAATGTATGTATTAATAGGCAATTTGCCTATTCATTTCCTTGGGACAGTTAAGAATCTCCTTGCAACAACTTGATCAGCCAATTGGTCAGAAAACGAGCCATCGCAACAGGAAGATGCCCCAATGAATGGGGAGAAGAACCCACCTTTTATCCACGAAATGTTATCAACAGGGAGTTGACATTTTCACTCTCCCCATCCAAACTGCTTCAATCTGGTGCCCTGATGGTCCCTCTTAATCCCAGTATTGGGAAGCAAATAAATGAGCTAGTTATGATTTCATGTAATAAGAATCCTGCCCAGAACATGTGAAAAATACCAAAAATATTATTGTTCCATCGGCGTGAAGGAATTCAAGAAAAAATATTAAATAGCATTGATTTTCCACCAGAGACGCTCAAAACTACCACTCACTCATCTGGTCATACCTCAAAACCCATTTGTTTAAATCATTTGCCCTTGGAAACACGTCAAGAAGAAGAGTTTTCCAAAGCGTGGTGAAAATTTGAGCCCAAAATATCAAGCAATAAAAAATCCCGCCCAAGGTGAAAATAGGCCATTTGTGACAATTTGAATACCAGCCGGTAATCAGCCTGTTTCCTGTAGTTACTATAACAAAAACAAAATATGGGTACACCTATGTGAATCTTCATTTAAAAAAACTTCAAATTGACGTTCTCGAATCACGAATAGCTTATTTGGTTGTGGAGTAATCTTTTCTGAAAGATAACATTTTTAAAATCTCCTTAAATGCAGGGTTGTAGCCGAGAGGGATCTAGGCACTTTAGAGCAAAATCAAAAAAGGCGTTTGTTCAGAATGCCATAATAAGCGTTTTGGCTAAGTTTGGCTCAAATCGGTGACATCGACCACAGCTGGAATTACCCATATGACGGATTTCACGCCAACTCATCCAGTGGTTGGCAGCACCCTCTCAGAACCTTATGGAACTTTGTGGGTGTGGAGACTTAGCAATTTTAAGCAACTTTGCGTACTTATTTTTTTCAAAATTTATCTCGCCTAACATTTGATAAGGGTCAAAGTTTTTTGTCGATTTTTTTTCAAATCGATATAGCTTAAAAATGACAAGCCCTACAAAAAAGTGATGTATGGCGAACTTTTAGCAAATAATCTGAAATTTTATAAAAAAATTTAAATAAAATAAAAAATCGGTTTCTACACTCTAAAAAAATATATTTAAAAATTAAAAGCCATTTTCCCAAAAATGGTACCCCTCAGATTTGCTTGATATTTTTTCTCATGAAAGGCAATATAATTACCTAACTTTTCTTCATACATCGCAAAGTGGGCGCTTTTAAGGAAAAAAAGTTGTTCGAACAACAACTTTTTCATGTTAATTTTTTTTTTAGCGTGTTTCACTCAAAGTCGAATAGTAATACGCGCACAACCTTATTAAAATTCGATTAAACTTTATGGGTATACTTTTCGATAATCTGGGCGAAATCTAGCCTAACATTTGAAAAGGGTACAGAGAAGTTACCTGCAAATCGTCCAATAAGAGTTCAGAACAAAACGTTCTAATGAGGAACAGCCATCTCAGCATGGTTTGCACTTTCCTGTGATGGATTGTATTATAATATATGCATACACTCTATCCAACTTCTATAAAACCACCCTCAAATTGTTCCAAATCAACAGGTAAACTAAGTAAAAATCACTTAGTATGTTTTATTCATGAAAAGATTTCAATTCATGTATTTGTGATTAATTTAATTAGAAAAATAATCATTCATTTATTTTTATGTATTAGGTGTGTCCATTAGTAAGCAATATGCATATATGTTTGTACCTCATCTCTCAAGTGAATACATATAATAGCGCAGGTAACTTAACGATTATTTAAGGCATGCCTAAAATAATCGTTAAGTTACCTGCTATATAGCAGTTATATAACAACGCAGGTAGTCACATGAGAGATATAAGGTATAAACTTAAAGCACCGCAGTCTGTTTCTACCGACATAATCTAATATTTAAGTTTGGTGATATCACAACAATGCTCATAGTTGCTGTAGTGCATAGTTGTTGAAAGTGTAGTGCTGCTTAGTTGTTGAAACGAAAAAGTGTTTATATATACAACAATGGAAAAATCTGCTGAATTGATTATTAAAAGGGTGCAATGTAGTGCCAACATAAACAATCCCAATTGCAGCCGCAATAATTTACGTAATTTATCATCAAGTCTCATAGAGAAAATACATTCATGGGGCTTTGATCATCAATTGGATGTAACAATGCGTATTTGTGAATCGTGTCGTGGAATTTTAGTGCACAATAGGACACCTCTCCCGAAAAAGAGGCGATCGGATGGAAAAGAATCAATACACAAAGATGTCCGATGAACTCAAGGAGCTGTTCAGTCATGTAAAAACTATACCTGGTACACAAAAATTTCATTGTTTTGTACCTATTTCTCAAAACATAATTTCTACTAAGCGATTTTCACATTCAAAGGAAACTCCGAAAAATTTCACTCTGTTTCCGATAGACTAATAATCAATGAAAAACTCAAATTATGTATGGAGAATTATAGGAAAATAAATTATGCACTAAACAAAAACACTAGAGTTTTCATTTATTAAAACACCATTCGAAATGCAGGAAAATCCTCTGTATTAGGCCCTTTCAAATGTTAGGCTAGATTTTTGTTTTAAGCACGCCCAGATTATCAAAAGGTCAAAATCTTTATGCTCATTAAGTTTCAACGGATTTTAATAAGGTTGTGCGCGTATTACTATTCTACTTTGAGTGAAACACGCTAAAAAAAAATTAACATGAAAAAGTTGTTGTTCGAACAACTTTTTTTCCTTAAAAGCGCCCACTTTGCGATGTATGAAGAAAAGTTAGGTAATTATATTGCCTTTCATGAGAAAAAATATCAAGCAAATCTGAGGGGTACCATTTTTGGGAAAATGACTTTTAATTTTTAAATATATTTTTTTAGAGTGTAGAAATCGATTTTTTATTTTATTTAAATTTTTTTATAAAATTTCAGATTATTTGCTAAAAGTTCGCCATACATCACTTTTTTGTAGGGCTTGTCATTTTTAAGCTATATCGATTTGAAAAAAAAATCGACAAAAAACTTTGACCCTTATCAAATGTTAGGCGAGAAAATTTTTGAAAAAAATAAGTACTCAAAGTTGCTTAAAATTGCTAAGTCTCCACACCCACAAAGTTTCATAAGGTTCTGAGAGGGTGCTGCCAACTCCGAAGACGAGTTGGCGTGAAATCCGTCATATATGAAACTACAACATGCAGAATTGGAACCTACCTAAATAAAAAACATTTATTCGACGATGACTCGTTTATGAGTAATGAATTTTCAAAATGTGGTTAAATTAGAATAAAACTTAACGGCATCCGTATGTTTTTCTCAAATGTAATTTTTACCTCAAATCGTTTCACGTGCACGTGCTAATCCAGCCTAATTAGCAGTAAGAACTCCGAAATAAAATAATTTATTCATTAATTCTTAAAAATTATAAGTGCATCAAATTTTAAAGGATTTTAGCTAATTATGTAAAAGATCAGCGAGCTTCTTAAAAATCCAGTTAACGTAGAAATGCTGACCATATTTTAGAACTTCATCGAACTTTTTAGAAATTTAACGAAATTTAGTGAAATTTTTCGAAATTTGTAGAAATTTGGGGGATTTTGTTGAAGTTCAGAATTCATGACATTCATTGAGCTCCTTAAAACTTCAGCAACTTTGGAAATGCTCAAGGGAAACCTTAGAATGAAATTTAATGTAAAGAAGAAGAGCTTTGAAAATATTCCGGAAAACTTCGTAGAAGTGAGAAACTTGTTCATGTTCGCGAACTGCGATGAAGTTAATGGAACTTTGTTTTATTGCAGGAAATATTAAATTTCCGGGACCTTCTTTTAATTTTAGGGCACTTAATTAATGGTTGAACTTGGAACAGTTTAAGGAATTGCGTAGAAGTTTAACATTTTTATAGAAGTTTTTTTTATTAATTCAGCAATCTTTGTAGAAGTTAAGCGAATTTAGTATAAATTCGAAGAACTTCGCAAAATTTCACTTTTTTTAAAACAGCAAAAAAGGGTTATCTTTCGTTTAATTCCACTTAATTCCATCCATAATCACTAATGAACTTATCAAAATCTACCCCCTTTAAGTACTCATCTCCTAGGTAAAAAAAGTCAAGATCACAGGTATAAAAATGAGACTACAATGTGTTTAATCGGAACCTACCTAACTAATAAAAACCAAAGATTTAAGTAAAGTAAAGGAGAAAAAATCCATACAACTCTCTAATAAGGAAAATCCCAAAGGCTTGCTAGCCATCATAATGAAGTTGTTCGGACCCTTAAAAACTGCAATTTGGACACCGGTTTTGCGCCACACTTCCGTTTCGGACCCTGTTCCAAATTCCACTTATGACCGTGATTTTGTCGTGAAGGTTAACGAAGAAAACTCGCGATTCCGTGCAGAAAAGAAAACGATTTTATTACGTAAAAAAAGGAAAACTATATTCTGCGAAGAGCGACGACGGTGACCGACCGACTTGATGATTTATTTCGTACTGATAGGCAAACGTGATCAAAACAGACCTGCTACAATATGTGTGGATCGAAGAGAGGAGTACTGTAGTGTACTATCACCACTATCGCTAGGTTCCCCGTGTAGATATACGAGAGAGATAACCTACACCAGAGAATTTATGCTACACGGGGGGCGTTCAAAATGAAACTATCTAAGGATTTGTGTAATGTACCTAACATGCCGGCCACCTAAATTCTGTTAAAGAATTTACGAATCCAAAACCATCAAATACTTATTAACTAATACGCAGAGTTCATATCTTATTACTATGATTCTTCCTCGGGAGCTACGTTGCGCTGTCCGGGCTGGCAGCGTTTCCATCCTTCGGTCGAGACATTCTCAAACGGCAGCAAACAGACTCGTGAGGCTTGTCGCTTGTAGACAGCACCGTTGGGGGTTCGTAGCTTCACTACTCGGACCACACCATCGGGGCCAGGGAAGACTTCGGTGATTCGGGCTAGAGGCCACTCGATGGCCGCGGCTCCATCCTCCTTCAGGACCACCATTTGACCCACTTTCAGCAGGGTTGCTTGAGGGAATCGTTGGTTCTGATTGTGCAGCTGCGAGATGTACTCCCGCCTCCACCGCTTCCAATGCTGCTGTACGACTTGTTGCAGTTCCTGGTAGTGCTGTAGTCGATGCGTAGGGATATCCGTGTAGTCCGGATCGGGAATCGCCAGCAACGCCGAGCCAGTACACCGTCGAGCAGCTGCGCAGAAAGCCTACATAGCGGTTTTCGTGTGCTTCAGCACGAAGGCAGTTCACCTCGAGCTGGTGGGGGACCTCACCACTGTTGCCTTCCTAGCTGCGCTGCGACGAGTGCATTGACGGTCGAACGATATAGTTTTGCTGCTATGAAGGCACCGCATAACTCCAACCTTGCGAGAGTAGTCTTCTTCAAACTAGCTGGACGAGATTTTGCTGCCAGGAGCTCCACCTTTATCTGCCCCAGTTGGCTGATGGATCTAGCGAAAATGCACGCGCCGTACGCAGCTTCGGACGCATCCGAGAAGACGTGAAACTGAATCAGAATTGGGTGATTAGTGAAAGCGTGCCGATCCACTTTGATGTTGGAGAGAGCTGGCAGCTGCTGATAGAAATTCGTCCACTGATTAGCCAAGTCTGCAGGCAACGGATCGTCCCAGCCTTGAGCGGCTACCCACAGAAGCTGCATCTGAATCTTTGCCCACGAAATGACTGGAGCCGTGAAACCGCAGGGATCCCATAGTTGAGCGATGATGGAGTATACTTTGCGCCTTGTCCACTGTCCGTTTACAGTGAGACCCGATACATCTATGCCCAGCAAATCTGGCCCTGGTTGCCAGTGAACTCCTAGTGCTTTCACCTGTTCCTGATCGAAGTTGAGTGTAGATTGCGTTCCCAGTTCGTCTGCAGCCAGGCCCGCCAACACACTCTGGGCGTTGCTTACCCATTTTCGCAGTCTGAAACCACCTTTAGACATCAGCTGCTCCAACTCTTGTCGCAACAAGATAGCTTCGCTTTCAGAGTCCGCCCCTCCGATAAAATCGTCCACGTAGAAGTCATTCAAGAGCGCCGCTTTCGCTCGTGGGTATTGACTGCCTTCGTCGTGTGCCAGCTGCTGCAAACACCTCGTTGCAAGGAATGACGATGGGGCCAATCCAAACGTGACTCTGTTCATCTCGTAAGTTGAAATGGGCTCATTTGACGAGAATCTCCACAGAATTCGTAGAAGAGCAGCATCATCTAAATGCACCTTCACCTGCAGGTACATCTTTTCGATGTCAGCAACTAATGCGATGAAATATTTGCGAAATCGCAGAACCAAATCGAACAGGGGATCTTGAATCATTGGACCCGTCATCAACGCATCGTTTAGAGAATGGTTGGATGTAGTTTTAGCCGAACCGTCGAATACTGGCCGAACCTTCGTGGTCGAACTCGACTCTTTAATTACCGGATGGTGAGGCAGGTAACAAGACAGCCGTTTATCGCGCTTTAGCTCCTCCTCCGGTATTATCGTCATGTGTTCCTGGTCCAAGTACGTCTGCATCGCCTCGTTGTAACGCTTGCGCAACTCTTCGTCCTTATCCAGTCGCCGTTCTAGCTGCACAAGTCTTCGCAGAGCCATATCCTTCGATTCTCCGATCATCCGTTCGAATCCCATTTGTTTCGGCAGACGCACAACGTACCTCCCTGTGGCATCTCGAGAAACAGTTGCCTGAAAGTGCTCCTCGCAATCCTGCTCTTCTTTGGTCCGCCTTGGTACATCCTGCATCTCTTCAATTTTCCAGAACCGTTCGATCTTCTCCTCTAGAGTCGTGTCAACCGCCACGTGGCAACATGGGACTGGGTTAAGACTGCCCAAATCCGCTTTGCCAGCTGCTATCCACCCAAAGACGGTATTAACGAAGAGGGGGAGACCTTCACCCATCCGCTGAATTTGGAACCGCCCTCCATTCAGTAGCAGGAACTCGTAGAAGTACTCCAAACCCAGAAGAATGTCTATCGGAGCACGCTTGTTGAACCCAGGGTCCGCCAGGACCATGTCCAAGGGGAGATTCCAGCTGCCGATCGGGATGGTTGTCGATGGTTGATCGTCCGTCACCTTTTTCAGCACCAAGAAATTCATCGGAACCGCATAGTCCATTATACGTGAACCTATTGTTGCAGAAACAGAACTGTTTGTCTGAATCCGCGCGCTGCCGACACCGGAGATTGGTACGGTAGTGTCCTTCCTCGGCAGCTTCAAGATTTGACATAGCCTCTCTGAGATTAGATTGGCCTGGGATCCGCTGTCAAGAAGTGCTCTCGCTGTATGCAACCGTCCGTTGCAATCTTTCACCGACACCAGAACGGTCGACAGGAACACATGCACATCTCGTAACTCCGCTGCAATATTGGCTGCGTAGATTGTGGCAACCGAACTTTGAAGCGCTTGTTGCGGAGTCTCAACTGCACCTGCCGTAGAAATACCAGAACCGCCCGTTTGCGATTGTTCAGCGGCTTGATCTCCGGTCACCGACCCAGTTCCAGTTGCCGCTAACCCCGGATGGAGTAAAGTATGGTGTTTTTTGCTACACGTACGACAGCGGAAAGTAGACGTGCAATCTCTACTGTAATGGTCACGCCGAAGGCAATTACTGCACAGCTTCTTCGAATTTACTATCTGGAACCGTTTATCCAGTGTCAGCTTCGTAAAAGCAGGGCAGTTGGAGATATAGTGCGAACCACTACATGACACGCACTTCGGTGACGAACTCTCCGACGCTGCGTGGACCGATAACTTGGGCGCAGGCTTTTTGAACGGTGCGAATGGAGTGGAGAGTGGAACCCGTGGACCTTCGGAACGTTGATCAACCGCAATCGCATCCAGAATGCGGGTTTGGCCTTGCAGAAACTCCATCACGTGTAGAAATGCAGGATCCTCCTTCTTCAGCGCATACTCTTCCCAGTCCTTCTGCGTCACGTCGTCCAGCTTCGACACCAACAGCTGCGTCAGCATCGCTCCCCAGCCTGCAGTCACTTCCCCTAATTGATCCAAGATCTTAGTGTGCCGATCGAATGCATCGATAACATCATGGATCCCACTTGCAGAAACCTTCTTCAACTTCGGAAACTGCAGAAGAGCGTTGACGTGCCGTTTCTTCTGCAGATAGACGTTTGAATAACGTTTGGTCAAAGCAGACCAGGCAACCCCGTAGCTGGCTTCACTCATTGGGAAGGAATCGACAACCTTGAGTGCCTCACCCTTTAGAGACGCTCGCAAGTAATGGAAGCGCTGAATCCCACTCAAATCTGGGTTGGTGTGGATCAGCGATTTGAAAGTGTCGAAAAAAGGCAACCATTTGTCAAATTCCCCATTAAATTCTGGCAAATTTATCTTCGGCAGTTGTATGCCGGCACATGCCCCCACACGTGCGCTAGTGGAGGCAGAACGAGGGGAGGACGGGGAGGTGGTGGATGGCAACTTCGCTTTCAACCCTGCCCTTACCTGGAAGTACAACTCCTCGAACTCGGCTCGGGTCTGCTTGTGTTGATCTGTTTTCTCCTCATGCTCCTCCATTTCCTCTATTTGCGACTGGATGTCCTCAAATTCGTCCCATTTCTCGTCCAGCCTGTCGATGCGAGCTTGCACCTGGAGAGCATGAATCGCCGGGTCGTAGTTCTTCAGAAATCGTGCTGTGCGCTGGAGAAATTCAACGATGTTGTCCCGCGCTTGCAGCTTCGGCTTCAGCTTCTTCCCCATAGCGCAACAGGGTGGCGTGCGGCAGCGGAAAACTGTAAAAAAGTACGAAGCACAGCACCACAAAGCAGACGGATAGACCGATTGGAAAGAGGCTCACCTGTGAGCCTAAATAATTAGGCCTTGTATTTATTTTCTCCCAACAGGAACAACAGGAACCTTCGTCTGGCGTCTCAATGATCTGATTAGAGCGATGACGTCACCAGCTTGCAGCGATTTGCAGTGTAGCCAAACACTCATCCAATGCAGAACCGAGAAGCAAGAATTGGTTGCAAAATATCCGCCGACACAGTGAAATCTCAACTCAGTACTCACCGTGTGAGCCTGGTTGAACAGGCCTTGTATTGCAACCGTATGTACAAAATACGCGCCTCCGGTAACAAATCCTTTGCTGAATCGCCAATACACAGGACCACCGTTTTGGTCTTTCAATCCAGTACCAGACTCTTGGTCGAGTCTATCATCCAGTCGATCACCAGTGGACTCGAATTTATCGTGACCATCCAACAAGCAGCAAGAACAATCAGCAGCAGCAATCACTCCGGTTGCTATTATTTCCACCGAGCAGCGTGCTATACAAACTATTCACACCGTCCAACGGGGCCGAAAGCAGTAGGGTTGTTGAACTGCTCTTCAGGTCGTTGCCTTCCAACGCTGGGTAGGCCGTATGCAAGCGAACCGATTTAAAGCACAAAACGATTGGCAATATGGTGTCCAACAAGCACTTCCCGCGGCACAATCCTGGTCACGGCACCAATGTTCGGACCCTTAAAAACTGCAATTTGGACACCGGTTTTGCGCCACACTTCCGTTTCGGACCCTGTTCCAAATTCCACTTATGACCGTGATTTTGTCGTGAAGGTTAACGAAGAAAACTCGCGATTCCGTGCAGAAAAGAAAACGATTTTATTACGTAAAAAAAGGAAAACTATATTCTGCGAAGAGCGACGACGGTGACCGACCGACTTGATGATTTATTTCGTACTGATAGGCAAACGTGATCAAAACAGACCTGCTACAATATGTGTGGATCGAAGAGAGGAGTACTGTAGTGTACTATCACCACTATCGCTAGGTTCCCCGTGTAGATATACGAGAGAGATAACCTACACCAGAGAATTTATGCTACACGGGGGGCGTTCAAAATGAAACTATCTAAGGATTTGTGTAATGTACCTAACAGAAGTAATGAAATTGGCTTCGAAAAAATCCACTAGATTTCTTAGAAATGCTAATATTTTTTTAGAACTTCATCGAACTCTGTTCAAAATTTGGGGAATTTCGTTAAAGTTCAGGAATTGTGCATTGACCTTCTTAAAACTGCAGCAACTTTGGAGATATTCAAGGGAAACCATATAAGGAAATTTATTATAAATTAGGAAAGCTTTGACAAACTTCTGGAGAACTTCGTAGGAGTGGGAAACTTGTTCAAGTTTGGGATCTACGACGAAGTTAATGGAAGTTTGTTTTATTGCAGGAAACATTAAAATTCCGGGACTTTCTTTTAATTTTAGGGAACTTCTTTTAAGATTGGACTTGAAACAGTTTAAGGAATTCCATAGAAGTTTTTTTATGTTCAGCGATCTTTGTAGAAGTTAAGCGAATTTAGTATAAATTAGAAAAACTTCGTAAAACTTCATTTTTTTATTGAATTTTGTAAATGTTCAGAAAATTTCGAAAACTGTCCGTCTACTTTGTACATCCTCAGCAACTTTGTAGGAGTTCATGAAGTTTCGTAGATGCTCAATGAATATTGTAAAAGATCAACCAATTTCTAAGAACTTCAGCGTTTTTGGAACATTATTTCGGTCATATGCTAAGAAAAAAATTGTAGAAAGGTTAAGAATCTTCCTGTAAGTTTGGAATTGGTAATAGATGTTCTAAGATCTTGGTCAAATTTAGAAAGCTAGGAAAAAATATGGACCTTGGAAGAAGTTCAGGGAACAAGGTATAAGTTATAGAAAAAAAGTCCAGAAATTTTGATGGAAATTCAGTTGTAGTGTGTGTAAGCTTTGGAACAATCGTAGAAGTTCATGGAACTTCGTAGAAATGGACACAACTTTCCAGGATTTCGTAGAACTTCCCACAAAGCTTCATAGAGACTTAGGGAACTTCGGATAAATTCAATGGATTGGGAAGAAGTTCAGGCAGCTTTGTTTGAGTTCATGGAACTGTGATTATTTTCAAGAAACTTTGTGCAAGTACAAGAAACTTCATAGAGGTTTATGAATCTTCGTAGAGTTTTAGAGCACGTTGTTGATATTCACGGATTTAAAATTTAACTAAGGTAGGGGAAATGAATGTAATGTCGGCCTAAATGCCCCTAATTTGGGCCGATCCATAAATTCAGCAATGGAGTAAATTTTCAATAGCGACCAAATACATCCATTAGTACCGTCCCAATGCCGCGTTCATCTAGATAGAATTGATAAATAGCATATTTTTAGCGATGGGCCCAATCTTAGATCCATAGGCCAACATTAGAGCCATTTCCCCTAGTCTGAACTAAAAATTTCAAATTTCGTTTATCAGATATGCATTCAAGATCAGGAAGTACATTCTTCTGAAGATTTTGAATTGTTCAAACATTTAAATGACGTCTTCAGATATTCATATGGTTAATCAGATATTATCGTGGGATTTTCTTTTATGATAATCATACATTTTAATATACACACTTAGAGAATAATACCGAACTCGATTTTCTACCGAACTACATCGGTTACCAACGAGAACCCGAATAATTCGTTTAAACATATTTTTCATGCGTTTTTTTTTTCGAGTCAAATCCAAATTTCAGTTACAATAGGATAAATTTGATAAATTAGCCATCAACCGCAAAAAATATATGAATTATCGCGAATTTCTGGCGCCTGATTGAAGCGATTTAGATGGGAAGAGTGGAATTGCCATCTCCCTGTTGTTAACATTTCGTGAATTGAAGGTGGGTTCTTCTCCCCACTCATTGGGACATCCCCTCGTATGATGGCTTGTTCTGTATCGGGTTGGAACATTTTTATCATTGAAAGGAGATTCTTCTTGCTCCCGTGGATCATGCGTAAGTGTCTCTGCTTACGGGTCCACCCTCCGTTTTTGGCCCTTCATACAATGGTAAATAGAGTACAACCAGGTATCGTACTTGATCAAGTCGAGGTGGACAGTCCACTGTGACTGTGCCCTGCCACAATCAGTGGTATCCTTTTTACATCCATACATACAATAGGATAAATTTGGCAGATTAGTAGATTTTTCAGATGACCACTAAATGATGTCCGATTGAGTCCAAATTTTTCATACGGTCGTTTTTTCAATCCAATAAACATTTTGCCTATGGCCCATTGGCAAAATTCAACATGACCATTTTCATTGGCACCCTAATAAGCGCTATTGACGAGCTGATGTTTCAACTTTGCGACTTGTAATTATTGTTCCACCTTTCTCCATCACCCATTTATGGCGGCGGCATATAACCGCAGCGGCGCGGCCTGTGATGCACAAAAGACAAACAACAGCAATTTCGCCAACCATTAGTTTTGGGATTGAAGTGATCCGTTCAAATATTCGACTCCGACTGGATGGTGCTGGTGGTTCGAGGGGTCACTCTGTCGAAAAGCTTTTAACTGGTGTGTATTTTATAAGGTCCACAATGACCTAAAGTAGTCGCATTCATCGATTGAAATGGAGAAAAAAAAAACTTTCACGCGTGAGGTTATGTAAACAACATTCGTGTGAAGTTATGGGTTAAAATCGGGGAACGTGCAACGACAACCGGATCATTCTATTAAGCGCATTTAATTGGTTTTTCAAACCAAACGATGCTCATGCTCGCACTAATCATATGTGGTGGCGCTGGTGTGGCGAGTGAACGTAAATATTTACCCATCAATTAAGTGACGTGATACTGCAATATACATAACCCATGGAATTTTATGGTTATGATGAAGTAGATCTTGTGCCTCTTACCGGGGGGACATGGATTAATTAAAGTGTGCAGAGCATACGGGTTGTCTGTGCATCTCAGTCGTACATCGGAGGATGTGGTCTTCTGCAAGCAGCAGCAGTGGTGAAGACACATGAACAACAAGTGTGCGTATCATTTTACCGGTTAAATATGCTGAATATGCTAATGATTGACGGGTGATTTTATGGACATGAACTATTGATGGACAGGGAAAAGGGGGTTATAATTAGATTTGTATATTGATATCATTAAATGTCAATTTATGTCAGATAACACGTTTAGGGATGGGCCTGTAGCTAATGGCGTCATACTCAACTTGACCAGATTGGCCGTAAGGTGCGAAAAACATTGTATCTATTAAAGAGTGGAACATCCTGAAAATATTGGGACTTACTGGAAGCTTTAACAACCTCAAAGCGGTTCTATTAGACTCCGAAAAACAGCAGGAACTTTTAAGAAGTTCCTAGAATTTCAGAGAACTTGACCTGATATCAAGAGAACTTAAGAAATATAGAGATCTTGAGGAAATTTGTAAAAACTTTTCAGAAGTTCTAAGTACCTCAGCAATGCTAAATATACAGATCTTAAGCGCAGTTCCCGTAGCTTTAATCCAGATTTTTGGAGCAGTTTAAATATCTACCCAAGTAACCACCAAGCTTGTTAATAGCCCGGTAAGGGCTCTTTTTACAATATAAGGCTTATATACGGCTTTAGTTATTTTTTTATTTTAGGCTTATATCAGCATTATATTGCTCTTTTTGAATAAGTTGGCTTGTTGTTGACATGGGTTTAAGTGTGATTTAAAAAAAAAAACCAGGATAGTTACATGATAAGTTGAAAAACATCGAGAACTCTTAATATGTGCCTGAATTTCAAGGAAGTACAGAGACCTTCAGAGATTTTATGAAAACTTCAGCAATATTCCAAGAATTTCACAAAAGTCCAGAGAATTTTAGGGTAGCTTAAAGGTGTTTACGAGAATTCCATTTATTTCAAAGCAGAATGAGTACTTTAATAGAATTGAGAGCTTCAGCGAAGCTCC